GCTGCCCCCGGGCATGCGGCTATGGGGGGGAGCCGCCCCCAGGCGCGCAATTGTCCCCGCCCCCTGGCGCCCGACGGGTGAATGGCCACGCCCTCTGGTGCCCAACAACCTCAAAAGGTTGGGGACCACTGATTTACACTCCATTGCACATCAGACATTTCACACAAGACTGAATCCCTATAACTGCTCTGACTGTAAGCAAAGATTCAATTAGAGCTGATATCTCATTGAACATCTGGCAGGAGGGAACCATGACAGATGTGTGAACAGAAAAAGCTTTAGTCAGTGCTCACACGTTCTGTCACATTAGAGATCTCAAATAGGAGAGACCCTATTGTAATATAACAGGATTGCTTTGAGGATCAAATCAGGTGAATTGCTTAGAGTCTGGGCTACTTACAGCTCAAGCCTGGGAATCCTCCAGTGTAAGACGTCAAACAAGGCACAAAGAGCATTTCTTTGTGTCACACTGGCCAGTAAATAGACACACAAGAAATTATCTTAGAAACGCCAGCTTCTCCTGTGCCATAACCAGCACCACACCTGACACATAGGAGAGGTTATGAAAATCCATCTCACCAAATCCGAGCATGTTCTTCTAACCTCAAAAGAACAACTCCATTCCCAGGTCAATTTATACCTTAGATCTTACCCAAAAGAGCACCCTGGGCCAGTCCTTTAGAATCTAACATAAGTGATTCTCAAAGTATTGGTCCATGACCCACCCTGCTCAATGCAAACCTTTCCACCGACCATCAGCCAACAACCCGTGACAACAAAATGTCTTTGATTATCTTTAAATACTAACTTATTCATATTAGGGTCCTGGTGCATAAAACATACATAGGTGGCTGTAACATAAGGGGATGTATATAACCAGTAAGAAAGGAAATATTGTCAAATCATTAAACAGAATCGTTAAGTACTTTAACCTTCTCATGTTAGTGGTGGGAAAAGCTTCAGTCAGAAGTCAGAGCTTGTTAGTCATAGGAGAATCCACACAGGAGAGAAGCCCTTCAGCTGCTCTGAGTGTGGGAAAAGCTTCACTCAGAAAGGACATCTCATTAAACATCAGAAAATCCATACCGGGGAGAAACCCTTCAGCTGCTCTGACTGTGGGAAAAGCTTCAGTCGTCGTTCAAATCTTATTATACATCAGAGAACCCACACTGGAGAGAAATATTTCAGCTGCTCTGACTGTGCGAAAAGCTTTCATGTGAGCTCACATCTGGTTACACATCAGAGAAACCCCACAGGAGAGAAACTGTTTGAATGTTCTGACTGTGGGAAAAGCTTCAGTCAGCGCTCAAACCTTAATAAACATCAAATAATGCATACAAGAGACACAGCCTATAACTGCTTTCACTGTGGAAAAGCTTCAATCAGAACACAAACCTCACTGAACATCAAAGAATCAACATAGGTGAGAAACCCTATGACCTGAGTCCCCTTTAAGCTGCATGGCCCTGTCACTGTGCAGCTATTTAGTAAGGGCCATGCAAGCGCTTAGGGCCGTGGTGGGGAGAGATGTCTCAGCCTCAGCCCAGGCCTGTCATGGCTGGAGGACAGTTGGCTATCCCATGTCCCAGGCTCCAGAGCTGCCATGGCAGGGAGAGGTGCCTCTCCTCCTCCTCAGAACACTACCTGGGTGGTGGTGGGGGAGGGCTGGGGGGAATCTTCTCTTCCATTGTAGCCCTTCAGTAGATAGCACTCAAACCTCTCATCCGTGGTGCACCTCAAAATCCATACTCCCAACTACAGCCCTCACATCTCTGCTCTCCCACTCTGTCCTAATCCTGCACCCCCTTCCCACAGAATGTTTGTTCTGTGCACCAATATGCTGTGTAATGCTTTCCCTTCATTTTGGTGTCCATAACAAATTCATTCTGTGTATGCGTGGGAAAAATTGAATGGAACACTGTGTATAACTGCCCTGAGTGACAGAGACACCTCAGTGAACATTTACACCCGTGGTCCCCAACACTGTGCTCGCGGGCACCATGGCACCCGCGGGGGCATTTGCATGCGCCCGCCAGGTGCTCGGGGCTGGCCTGGCCCTGGGCACATGGCGCATGGTGAGCGCCGGCCCCGGGCGCGCGGTGCTTGTG